TCCGCCTGCCTCTGTTGCACACCCCTTCCCATGTAAATACAGAGATTTTTATATTAATTTAATAAAAGGAATTTATAAACAGAGTCAAAGCTCCAAGGGGCTGGAGGTGGGAAGGGGGCACCGTCTGAGCCTCTCCACGGCGCCGGGGTTGGTGTTGCTCGGGGCAAGGAGCCTTTCTTCACCAGGTGCCAGCTCACAGTGTGGCCTCGCTGCGGTACAATGTCTGTGGGGCCTCACCAGGGCGGGCACCGGCCCGGCGCTGGGCAGTGATGACCAGCGTGCCAGCCTCAGTGAGGGCACAGCTCACCGACAGCGGGTCTGTGTCCTCGGGCAGCTGGCACTTGTGGGTGAAGGTGTCGCAGATGGTGCCATCCTCAGCCACCTGCAGGGAGGCAGCACCAAGGTGGTGGAGCAGGGCACGGTGGTACACAGCACATTCCCAGTTACGCCAGTGCTAGCGATGGGGCAGCTACCAGTCACCCCGACTCCGGCAGGGAGCTCAGCAGGGCAGTTCCCAGTTACCCTATTGCCAACAGGGAGCAGCTTGCTGTTTCCCCCACCAGCAGAGAATGCCACAGGGTAGGAATTCCCAGTTGCTCCACTATTAGTGAGGACAGTTCCTGGTTACCCCACGACAGGCAGGGGCAGTTCCCAGTTACCCCAGTATGGAGGAGGTGCAGTAGAGCAGAATCTACATGTTGTCCCATCACTGGGGGGAAGGACACACACAGCTCCCAGTGACCCCAGTGCCAGCAGAGGCTATTCCCAGTTACAACCTCCTGCAGGAGGAGGTGCTGTGGGGCAGGACCTCCATTGCTCAGTGGCCAGAGGAGAGGGTGGGGGATGCTACTGCCCCCTAGGTTGCCTCACCTTCTCAGCCTGGATGGTGACATGGCAGTTGGAGGTGGTCACCACGATGTCAGGAGGCTCAAATTGGCTGACGTCAACCACCACCTGGTAGGTGTCACCCTGGGCGTGCATCCAGGTGCCCAGGTTGCAGGGATACATGGCGCCAGGGGACCCTGAAAGCATCGGGGTGGGGTGGTGCCACCAGGCATGGGGGCATGGGGACACAGCCCCCAGGGGCTGGCACATTGAGGGGTGTGGGAGAGGCTGGTGACACTGGGAGGGGAGGGCTGGGGATAGCAGGTAGCACCAGGAGTTTGGGGACATTGAGGGTGCTAGGGAGTTGCAGTGGGAACTGGGGTGTCAGGGGCATGGGTAGTACTGGGGGGTCTGGAGTGGGAGTCTAGAGGTAGCAGGAGGCTCTGTGGGCATCTGCAGGCACTGGGAGGGTTTGGGGGCACTGGACAACCTGGGGACAG